CGTTATAAATACAAGCAGTAAATTAAATAGTATTATAAGTTGGTAATACAACCGGTTAGACCATGAACACGTCACACAAGTTCAGACTGTCCCAATGTCCGGCAAGTTCAAACGTGCACTTGCTCCACACTTGCTTCACTCCACACAATCCAGAATTCCACTTCACATCCTTCCACTCAGACTGCACTCCATGCTACATGCGCTACGACGGCTCACCACTCACAGGTCATCTGGAAAAGGGACAAGTACATTCCATAATACCTGCTGTTTTAAACACAACTAAAGAAACATAATACTAGTATGGATGTATTTAATCGGGCTACCGTACCCGATACAGTTGAATGAACTACGTACTATGAAATGATTAAACAGAAATCTCAACTTACAGTTTCTATGTGTTGGCGTCTTGTCCATCTCCCTCACCAAAGGTTAGAAACTCAAAGTCTCAGGAATATCCCCAAGCTGCAAGACCAATTTGGCAGACCTCTACTCTATATATTTACCAAATACAGCAAAGTCACCACTGACTCCCACCAACTCAAAGCCTGAACGCCTTGCCAGTTGATAGTAAAATTACGAGTCACCTCGAGTAGAATTGCCGGAGATGCTCACTCCTGAACAACTGATGGACAACTAACCACATCACACTGCAGAATTACCAAGTACACTGACCTACTTTGCATCACAAAAGCAGTTCTATTCATCACTCCAGCCTACTTCCATACACCCACCTGTAAGTGCATACCACTAACTTTCAATTCACACTCGCATACAAGCACACTGCTAATTAAATTATGACCTGATTCATGTACACTAGTTACTAAGCAACAGACTTAGCACTATTGAGTATATCATGTGATGAGTTACAGTACTATGACCTACATACAAACACAAATTACTAGACCATAACAAATAACATCCAAAATAGTGACAATTTGTCACAGTTCTTACACGTACAAAATTTACAACTGTCGGACAAAACTTGACCAGTATATTCACCTTTCAGTATAAGTATATATCGAAATAAAACATTTGCCGATAATAACAATATAATCAGTAAATGGTTCGTTTCGCTAGTTACAGCTAATCGAAAATCTACAATCACGCGGCGAAACAGAGTCTTATTAAATTGCAGATACAATACTCACAAATATCGGACGAAACTTAACCAGTGTTTTCAACTTGCAGTCGTGTATAAAACTTCATAAAACAATTATCTATAATTAGCGAAACGAACCATTCACTAATCATAAAACAATTATCTATAATTAGCGAAACGAACCACTTCACTAATCATAAAATCCCCGTTATTTTCAGCAAATGTTTAATGTTTAAGATTTTTGATTATCTAATTAGCGAAACAAGCCATATACGTATTAAATATTATTATTTTCGGCAAATAGATTGTAAATATTGTGCGTATAAAACCCATTTTCCTTCACTGATCACTGTTTAATTTTTATTATGTATGTTATCCCGTTTTGTTTCGTTTCGTCGATTACAATAAGCAACATACAGAAAGTCATTCCACAGAGTCATACACACTTCCGAAACTTCTTTCGCGCCTCGGTCTCATTTGCATCCAGTTCTTGCTTTTTTCTGGCTTTTCTGTCCTGTAATCATGCCAAAGTCACCCGGAGCTGAACATAAAATTGCGCAATAATATCTGAGGGAATAAAAATCCTGGCGAAGTTGTGTGCATTAAACTATAAAATAAATGATCATATTTATAATCATGTCAATAGTTTTCATCTTTCTTCATCTAAAATGAATGACACCAACAGGAGTTGCATACATAGTAACTTGTTTGAGTTGATCACACTTTACTTGATTGCAAAAAAAAAAAAAAAAAAAAAAACAGCAGAGAATGCTCGCAATATAGGGTAAGATGTTCTCAATATGTGTCTGAAATATGGGGTGTTTTTTCTTCAATGTGTCTGCTCTAGAGGGTACTAAATTTACATTGCGCCCGCAATAAGGGGTATGGTTTGCCAATGTGCTGCCAGCCCTAGGGGCCTATTATTTTTTTTAGCAAGAACGCATATGGTGTAAAGTTTTAATATAGAGTGACCCCCCCCCCCGGGCTTATTCCCTTGTATAAGTATGTGTCATTTGCTGTAAAGAGGTTAAGGCCACAGATCGGGTAAAATTATTCAAAACAAATGGAAAAACAGAAGTCTATTTAGGAATAGAGCGTATATTGAAGCTAAAATTGAACAATATTTCAATACGGAACTATGTGTCGTGGTAGCCTAAATCATGGATGGTACTAAGTACATCCACGCCTAAATTAAGTACGAACAATAGTCAAGATTACCGAAAATTTGAAGAGACGGTTCACAGAAACAACATAGATAATTAGAGATCGAAAACAAGTAGATGTTTACAAACGCCAAATCCAGGAAGTGACACAGAACAGCAAGAGAAACAGAACGGAGCAACTTCAAATGTAATCGATTTGCCACTTCCGGTCGGAAGGGCAACGAAAACGTCGTGGCCGCCAGTAAAACCATCAATTATTGTCTTCTGTGCAGATCGCGCTTCACTGTAACCCAGGCGAGATAAAGCTACACGCAGGCGTCTTCTCTCCATTAAAATAATTTGTAATTTCTTTGTTATGATTGACGATCGAGAAACTTGGAAGAAAAGCAGGTGGAAGAAAAGTGAAGTCTTCAGGTACACACTAGTCCCTGCTTTCACCACAGAGGGCGCGGCAAAAACGTCCAGTCTGGGTGATTTCGCGGTTACAGGGGATTTCGCGTTAACACCTCCATTTCGCTATTTTTTTTTTATTTAAGAAATAAATCGCCCAGACTGTGACAATCTAAAGTTTACTGAAAAGACGAGTTTTTCATTGCTCATGATATATTTAATTAGGTTATTATTTCAACCAATCGTGTCATACAACTACTCTGGGTTTAGCCCGCATGCGCATATTTTAACCAATCAACGCGCTGTTTGATTTAAATCCACAATTTTCAAAAAGAAAACCTTCATTTCGTTCTTGGCAGTACGGTGTGTAAGTTTTTTCGCTGAAAATGAATTCAATATATAAATCTAGAGGCATTGTTGGTGGGCGCTTCGGCGTGGCCGAAGTGTCACGGAATGTTCGAGCCACGGAAAGGGCTGCCCTGCGGAAATCAAGGAGAGGTCAGGAGACAGATAAACGTCGGAATATCGGCAGTCCGCTTACAGGTAAGCAATTTATGCTAATCAGTGCTCAAAACTTCAAAATAATGAAATTAATTGCTGTGAAAATAAATTTGATTGAAACACAAAATAGCTTTTTTATCATGAAAACGATTTACCTGCCTGTTCCCCTTATATTAGTTGCATCTCGTGGCGAATGAGCACGTGCATTAAAGCATTAAGGTACAAAAGGAACTCTTTCTGTACGTACATGCTTTACTCTTCCGAAATAGTGTGTATATTTTTGGAATAGAAACAACAATTTGGTCCTAGAAAAGATATGAAAAAAATGGAATTTTTAACTTTGCTTAGCCAGTAATGCACATGCTATTCCATGGTAGTGCATATGTTTGCCAGGGTGCATGATATTAGCTCAATACTTTAGCAAAACTTGAACAGTAGGACTTGCTTGGCTGTTCGAAGAAACAATGGTATTTTTACGTAGCGTGATAGTAAACAGTCTGTTGTCGTTCTCGGTGTTTCAGTTCAATTGTGGTGCAATTCTTGTCTTTTTACAATAAGATGCTGTACAGTAGGGCATCTGTTAATATGATGGTAGCCTATTCCTAGAATGTGTGGTGTTACATATATTGGCAGATTATTTTCACTTTATTTCTCACTGCTATTATAGTTTACTTCGATATTTCAGTTACACGCACTTTGGATCAAACCACAGTCCCACTATGATAGAGGGACTGTGATCAAACGTAACTTAATTGACTGAACATACAACCATACATACCTAACACACACATTAAGATATTAATGTATCTGGGAATAAAACATCTTTTTATTTATTGACCAGCTCAAATGCTGCATAATGCTTATGACATTTCATAGTGACATTTATATAAATGTGAATGGGTATTGACTGTATTGAGATATACAAGTGTTGTATAATTAAAGTTGACTAAAAATGAGTGGAATTCTGCTAGAATTCTAGGCTAGTATTGATCAAAACTTTATAAAACCTACCTGATCAGTCAGTATTGATCAACACACATTAATGTGCACACGAATCACTTCATTTATCATTTGTTTGTCATAGTTTCTTCCAGTCCTGAACGTAAATTAACTCTAGTTGAAAAACTGGCATTGTATAAGAAAGAGAAAGCGAAAAAAGCCGGAAATGCAAAGCACAAGAAGAAAATATTTAAAGTTGCTCATATTGTATATGATGACAAGCAGTGGTTTTCTTCTGGGCAGCCAGGCAAAATAAAACCAAAGGTAAGAACCAGAAATGAATCAAGCTCAGTCTCCTTCCCCACAAGTGCTCTATATACCAAATTCGACTGATACCCTGCCCATCCTCAACCTCGCTCATGGACAGTGTTTCAAATAGTGGATGATGTTTTGGTCCACACATTGCCTGATTGAACCAACAAACATTTTAACAGACTCGTCCGGCATCTTGCGTGCCATTTCAAATATGACGCTAAAAATAATTCACTGTGAAGTCGCAACGCGTTGGAGAAAACATGACACAAAAAGATTTTCTTTTGGTATACTCTATCGTGGAATGTATTGGTCCTGAAAAGGGCAGTTTGGTTTTGAGTGGTAATACTATATGTACAAGGTGTATTTATACAATGTTGACGTACATGTACTATTGTCCGAATTTTATTTGCCTGAGCCTTGGAATGAAATCACAAAGCAATCCAGAAAGACGTAGAGATCAACATAATATAAAATATGATCGCATTATTTTGTGAATAAACATCATGCATAGTCTCAGAAAATGTTTGGAAAGATTAATGTTTGCGTGACCAAATATAATCACCCACCCGAAGTATAAATTCAAAGTGTTAATACATTGTTGAAAGGTCGCATTTTACATAAACAAGAACATGCACTAAGAAGGAAAAGCAAGCCAAAGTCGAAACGGGGTGTATCATGGACTTGGTACAACATGCGCCGAGACAACTGAGTCATCATCGTTTGAATCGCACGGTCCGTTGTCTTCGACCTATAGGCCTCTACACGATACTGTGCGGGATCGCATAGGCTAATTGCGTATCTTAAGCAGTGAGATCTGATTGGGAGCGCCTCGAAACAAGGCGGCCAATCAGCTTGGACGTACTAAATTATAAAACAAAATTCCACTTCCTGTTTTTGTCGCTATAAAGACATCCTTCCCACACAAAACTGCGTCGATTGCTTGTACCTGATGAGTCTTGAGGGCACCAACACCGAAAACTTTCGCAATTTTATCATCACAAATATCACGATTCATGGATGCCGCTATTTTGTTTAAAATGAAAC